CTCTGAAACAGTTGTAGACGTAACAACCGTCTGATACCTTTTTAACTGCCTCCACTGGCAGCCTGGACCTGCAGGTGTGGGGTCAATGTTCATGAACTAGGCTTTGACTCATGCTCAAGCTAGAATGTATTATCAACTTATAAAGAGAGAGATTTCCCGTTTCAACCAGTAAATCTTCTGTTCTATTTTCTTGTCAATCGATCCGTTGAAACCAATGGTTTGAAAGTATTCCGTTCGATGTGATCACATGATGTGTTAATGCCGTTGTAATTGGCTTGTTCCACAAACTTTTACGCTTTACATCATGTGACTTAAGTGCAATGTCGTTTCACGTAGGTTTCAAGCAACTAACCTGAACCCTCCCAACATCTTGGTCTATGCATGGTCCATGTGTGAAAACCCTGAGGGTCCAGTTTGCTGTTTTTTCCTGTTCAAACACTCCACATAATGTACCGATGAGTTGAATCAGGTGTGTCTGAGCAGAAACATCACCAAACTGTGCTGGAACCTGGCCCCCCAAGACGGTAGTTCCTCACCCCTGCTGTATGCTAAATTCAAGGCCATTGTTTAATGCAGCGCTGGAGGCTCACTGCTCTGCACATCTTAGTGCTTTCCCTCCTTCAACATGCCAACCTGCACTTAATAAAGAGCTGATAATGGGCTGATTAGTTGGATCATGTGTGATGGGAGCAGGGGAAAGCAGGTAAATGTGCTGAGCAGTGGGCCTCTGGGATCAGGGCTGGGAAACACTGATTTAATGCAGGAGGTTTCAGTCCACGTTTCTGTTGTGTTAGTGACCTACTTGAGGCAGGAAACTGGGGTGACTCCTTATTTTGAGTGGTCCTTTTAGATTAAACAAACACTCAACGGACTCTCAGTAACATGTTAAAAACATACGAGGGTTAGGATTAGGTTTTGGTTTGAGGTTAAGGTTAGGATTAGGGCCAGGGTTAGGGTTAGGATTAACTTCTGGGTTGAGGTTAAGGTTGGGGTTAGGATTAGGGCCAGGTTTAGGGTTAGGTTTAAGTTTTGGGTTAAGGTTGGGGTTAGGATTAGGGCCGGGGTGAGGGTTAAGGTTAGGTTTTGGGTTGAGATTAAGGTTGGGGTTAGGATTAGGGCCAGGGTGAGGGTTAGGATTAGGCTTTGGGTTGAGGTTAATTTTAGGATTAGGGTGAGGGTTTGGATTAGGTTTTGGGTTAAGGTTAAGGTTAGGGTTAAGATCAGGGCCAGGGGTAGGATTAGGTTTTGGGTTGAGGTTGGTCTACTTAATGTAAGTAATGTATCAACAGAACATCTACAACAGGGTTTCTCAATCATGGGCAGAGGACCACAAGTGGGCCACGAAGCACCCCTTGGTGGTCTTTGGACATATACTGAGGGGGGCCAGTGGTCTGTAGTGGATCTGTGATGGCACTTTGTCACAAATATCAGTGAAAAAGAATTGACTTAACAATAAGAAATATCAAATGTTTGACAACATCAATACAAGCCCAACAATAAAGCAGCTTTGTCAGTTTTATTTTTTTTGCCCTTCGCCTCAAGAAACCTGACCTTTCAGTTCCACACACAACAATATTCTGCTGAAAGTTCATGTTCACTGAAACACATCACATGTCACTGTGTGGAAAAATTCCCAAAAATGACATTGTGGGCCTTTTTGCTTTCTAGTGATAAACAGATGGCCTTGAGGTGGAAAAGGTTGAGAACCACTGATCTACAAGATATTTACTTCAGTGTATTCTGATGTTTTTACTACTGCTACGTCACTGATATGTTGTTGATGTGTCACTGATAATCTATTAAGAGTTTATTACTCATCTACAAAGGACCACTCCAAATCAAGTGTTACCCTAACTAGCAGCCCTTGGACTATTTGAGTCATAACAGAATATACTGTGGTCTGGTTGAGGCTCCACATGCAGCAGATGTTGCTGTTGGATTTTACCAGGGGTCACCAGTTTTATCCGTAAAGTGTCGGCGTTGCTGCTGGTTTTCTTTCCAATCACCCAGACATACACCTGATTCCACTTGTTTAATCAGTTTAATCAGCTGGTCTTCAAAGCATTTGTTTGGTTAAATGAGGCGTCCTCATGCTGTTTGGAATGAATACTTGCAGCAATGTAGATAAGACAGGTGACCCATGGACTGGAGTGATATTCAAATATGGTGTCATAACAAAACCTTGTATCTCTGAAGGGAACCACTTGAAAATAAGACTACCCTTATAAAGTGTTTAGGAATGGTTTAAAATGTGTTTGTCCATGGTTATTAGTTAGGTCATAAACACATTTAAAAATCATTAATAAGCGGTTATAGCACATTAATAAAAAGAGCAGAAGTGAGCTGTTATACCTGATGAATATAAATGTGATTACGCTGACAGGTTCAATGCTGAGTGATGAAGAAGACAAAGTAAGAATAGTAAACACCAAAATCTGAGGTTTAACAGTATAAATGAATGAGGGTTCACTACTAACCAAACAACAGATCACTGTGGCCCATTTCATTTGAGTTGTAAAAGCTTATTAATGCTTTTAAGGTCATTATGACCCAATTAATAACCATTAATGAACTTATTTTAAAGCATTTATAATAGTAGTCTTATGTTAAAGTGGTGCCGAAGGAAAAAACACTCATTAGTGTAATGAGATTTTAATCCAGGTAATTTTGGACCATGTATATTGGCCAATTCATCATGGCATTTAAAGGGCAGCTGCTGTTTTCAGAAGATGGAAGGGGGGATAAATAATTGAAGTGAAGCCCAATATTTCTGCTGTTTAAATTACAGTAAACAGAAACAGGTGCCCTGTGAAGGGAATTTATATCCCTAAAAAACAGTGGGAACAACTATTCCCTCATTATTGGGGGTCCTGCTTCTGTTCCACCCCTCTGAAGATGTCAGAATTCCCTTTTCCTCAGAACTGTTTGTTCATCTTAACAAACCTGCAAGAGATTCAGTTTTATTTGTCTCTGTATAACTTTAATAACATTCAACAACGTCTAAGGACAGGAAACTTCTGAAGTACTGATAACTGTTTATTCCTCCCCGCCTGTATCTCTGGGTCTGCCTCTCTTCTCTCCTTTATCACTGGTGGTTTAATACATGCTCAGTGTGCTCTGTACTCTATGGTAACTTTAGGCCTGTGTGAAGCTCAGGCAGAAAGGGTCTAATACATCCTAGAAGGTTCCTCTTAGCTGATGCTACATGCATATGACGCTGACCGTGTATATAGTTGACCATGTGTCTGCTGAACAGCTGAACTGCTATCCTGCATCCTCTCCGGTGACTTTGCTACTAAACAGGAACTTAGCTGCTTCGATACTGTTAAGGAGAAGTTGCTAAAATGTATGAATGTAAAGAGTAGTGCAGGTGTTTTGGGGGAGGAGCATAAGATGAAAAAGCTAGACTTATATATGTGAAGACCACAGCTTTCCTGAGTGCTTTACCTCTATTTCCTGTGTCAAAGTGCTGTTTTAGCTAATAAAAATATTAACTGAGATATTTAGCTGTCATTTTGTTACTTTACCTTCAAATAATACATGTATGTGTAAATATGTATGTATTATGATGAGCTGTAAGATATGATGAGCTGAACATACATACATATGGACAAAAGTGTTGGGACACCCCTTCTAATTATTGAGTTCAGGTGTTTCAGCCACACCTATTGCTAACAGGTGTATGAAATCAAGCACATAGCCCTGCAGTCTCAATAGACAAACACTGGCAGTAGAATGGGTTGTACTGATGAGTTCAGTGACTCTAAACATGGCACTGTCATAGGATGCCGCCTCTACCACAAGTCAGTCTGTGAAACTGCTGTCCTGCTAGATCTGTCCCAGACAACTGTACGTGCGATTATTGTGAAATGGAAGCATCTAGGAGCAACAACAGCTCAGCCACGAAGTGGTAGACCATGCAAAACTCACAGAGTGGAGCCGCCGAGTGCTGAAGTGCACAGTGTCTATCCACTGTTGAATCACTTGATAAAGTGTTCCGAATTGCCTCTGGAAGCAACATCAGCAAAAGAACGTGCATTAGGAGCTTCATGAAATAGCATTGGGGGGCGTAGTGTAAAGCGCCGCTACCACTGGACTCTGGAGCAGTGGAAACGTATTCTGTGGAGTGATTAATCACGCTTCTCTGTCTGACAGTCTGATGGACGAGTCTGGGTTTAGCGAATGCCAGGAGAACATTACCTGCCTGACTGCACTGTGCCAGCTGTAAAGTTTGGTGGAGGAGGGATGATGATATGGGGTTGTTTTTCAGGGGTTGGCCTAGAACCCTTAGTTCCAGTGAAGGGAAATCTTAATGCTTCAGCAGACCAAGACATTTTAGACAGTTCTATGCTTCCAATGTTGTGGGAACAGTTTGGGGAGGAACATTTTCTGTTCCAACATGACTGAGCCCCAGTGCATAAAGCAAGCTCCATAAAGGCATGGCTCAACCCCTTTAAACGCCTTTGGGATAACCTAGAATGGACATTGTGAGCCAGACCCTCTCATCCAACATCAGTGTCTGACCACAAAAAAATTCCCAGACACAGTCCCTAAATATTGTAGAAAGCTTTCCAGAAGAGTGGAAGCTATTATAGCTACAAAGGGGGACAAACTCCATATTAATGCCTATGGATTTAGAATGGGATTCATTAAAGCTCCTGTAGGTGTCCCAATACTTTTGTCCATTTAGTGTATGTACACACACACACACACACACACACACACACACACATTCTGCTCATCATAGTTCATTGTAACTGTTGATAAGCTGGACAAGCTCTCCAGAATACTGGCAACAATCTTATTAACAACAAAAATGCATGCATAGTGCAGATTCAATATGATATCGAATTGTGGGGCCTCATCCTTCTCCTATCAGGCTGTATACACAGTCACAGCAGGGAGAACCTAAGGACAGAGAACCACTACACTAATCCACACTACTGATTTAGACTATGTCTGTTTTAATTGAAAGCCCTGAAAGAAAGACAAGCAAATGAGTGATTTACATCAAACATTTATTAGTCATTTATCTCTGTACAGTTATAGTTCAGCCACACACCGACACTCCAGCGTACCTCAATTACACACGGACTACTTCAATCTGCATCACTCTCAGTAAGATTAACATACTAAGCTGATTTCTTCATAACTGATTTTGTGCATTTCACCCACTCTCGCACTCAGAAGACACGAGTATAGAGGTTTTAACGAGCCCAGGTGAGCGGACTGAGGAGTAGACGGTGGACAAGAACGCAGTGTGTGTCTGTGTGGTTTGCAATGCATGCATCTAATGCGCTGGTGTGCCGCAAGGTCGCTCACATGGGGCGCTCTCTGGGGCGGGTGACATACTGCCACCACAGTGGGGGAAGGTCGCCCTCCTTCCTGGCTGGGGGAAGAGCCTCTGTTTTGGGCCCATCGGCTGGAGTCTCCTCCTGCAGCTGCTGGACCTACAGCACAAACCAATCCATGTTAGAGCATGGACACCAACTGAGAGCTGCTGCACATCAGCCAAGAAGAGACACGCAACGGAGAAACAGGACAAAGCACAGATATACCACATAGAAAACATCAACAATGAACAACCAAGTCGATTTTACACTGAGCTGTACTTCTACAGATTAAATTGAATAAAACTTGGAGTTTTTAAACTAAAATGTAGGAAATTATATAAGTTACAACGTAACTAGGCTAGTGCCTAGTAGTTAGATCAGGGGTCACCAACCCAAACGTTAAGTAGAGCCATTTTGTCCTTTCAACAAAAATCAAACCACCTTGGGAGTCACAACATTTTATTTCCATTTTACCTTGGCTGTAAATATGTCTCAGTATGTGCTGATGTACTAGTGTAGGCTAAGAAACATAATACAAACGAGAACGCAGACTCACTTTACTCTGCTTTAAGCTTTAGCACAGCTATAGCCACTTTTCTCACATCTCCAGCAGGAAACCTTTCCTCGAAAGTAGAAAAGCTTCTTGTAAAATGTCTCTCAACGTTCGACTTTTTACGAGGCTGAATTCAACTTCTCATTCGCCAGCTTCTTGATCGAATGTTCCCTTCCACCTTAAATGGTGGAACAGGAGAATCTTTGTACATTCCCCTGAAGTAGCTGAAGCAAAAACAGACACTTAGCATTCTGTTTAGTCTGTTTAGATTAAAGACTTCACAATAACTTTCCTCTTGGTTTTAAATTCTCAGTCATGTCATTTTCTACGAGCTTTACGGCCGGTTCTAGATTTAATTCAGTAAAAGTACAACGAGTGGAGCTCAGAGCTACTGAGCAGTGCTGGAAGTCGCAGACGTCTGTGAAGTGCAAAAAAATTTCTTTAAAAAATAAATTTTTAAAATAAAAAATAATTATAAAATTTGCACACTGTGTTGTCTGCTGACATATTGGGTATGCTGCAGCCTTAGGTGCAAGCTATTAGGATAAGTTAAACTAAGGCAAAAAGAAAATTATGACCTCCTGAAAGTAATGAAAACAAAGGTACTATGTACACTGTAAAACAAAAAAGGTATTTTTTTTTACTGTCAAAGTACCACAAAATGTAAAGGTTAGAACTTTTTAAAGATAAAATTAATGTTAATAAACTGTACATACAGCATACTTCAATGCTGTTGTTAATCTGCTAATATACAGAAACAGGGTGTAAATTCACAAAAAAAGAAGACACTGACATGTATTTTAATGGTTATTGTTATTATTATGGTAAAATACTGCATGTCATAATAAGTAGTTGAACTAGTGAAACCGCTGAATACAGTAAAGGGCAGTACGTATAACAAATTAAATGACTAATTAAATATATTTCTATTATCACTGAGAAAACACATTTTGTTAATTAATGGGGTTTTGTCCAGCACCCCTGCTGGGACCTTTTACAAATTTATTTTAAACAATGTAGTGATTATTATTATTATTATTTCACAAAGTCCGCTCTAGTCATTAACAGCCCCTCCCCCCCCTTTTTGAAAGCCCTTTCCAGCTAAACTGTGCTCCCATGTCCACCAAAGTGGGACCTGTTCTGACAGCAGCAATATGCAATAAGCACAGAGACTAAATAAAAAAGGGGGATCATGACGGCTGCAAGAAGTAACTTTTGCTTGTACTACAAACTACACAGTCACATTATTATGACCACTTCACGTCCACAAGTCTGGTGGTGGCAGTGTTATGGTATGAGGAATGTTTTCGTGGTATTCTCTGGGCCCACTCATCCATGTGAAAGGCGCTCTCAACTGATTTGGGTATGAACACATCGTTGCAGATCACGTACACCCATACATGCTGATCGTCTTCCCTGGGATCTTCCAGCAAGACAATGAGACATGTCAGACGGCTAGAAATGTCAGACACTGGTTGGAAGAGCATGACTAAGACTTCCAGGACTGGAACCCAATTGATCATCTGTGGGACCACCTCGATCATCGTGTTCACCCTATGGATCCTCCCCCACGCACCCTCCAGCAGCTGTGGGATGCACTGCAGTCAGCATGGCTCCAGATACCTGTGACAACCTACCAGGACCTTACTGAGTCACTCCCAGCCTGTCTAGCTGCTGTCCGTGCTGCACACGGTGGTTACTCTGGATATCAGCTGCTGGTCATAATAATGTGACTCGCCTGTGTACAAGCAATCAAAATCCCCCTTAAGAGCAGATACGCACCTCCCTGTCCCAGCTCTGGGCTCTCAGCTTCTTCCACTGCTCCCTCTTGGAGAAGTAATCAGGGAACATGGCCTTCTCAGAGGGGTGCCAGTGATCCAGGCACCACTCAGGAACCTGACAAAACAAGCAAACACGGTCAAAGAGCTGTATTTTACTGCTGTTAGCTGGTCTTTGATGGTATCGCCTCCTGTGTCTGGTCCTCTTTGAGGGGAGCTTCCGTTCCACTTTATAGCAAATGAAGCATCTTTAAGTTTCATAGCTAGATTGGAATGAAATCACGGGGCGATCTAACATTTACATCACCGGTGTCTCTACCTTGTAGCACTCATATCTCTCATAGGAGGTTCCACCAGGTGAATCGGGGAACAGGTAGGGCTGGGGATGCTGGTTAGCCCAGAACTCCTCCTCTGCAGCTTTGAGCAGCTTGGTGGCTTTCACCATGTCCTTCTCATTCTTATGCTCGTCAAACCGCGCCCTCAGCAGGCAGGCGTAGAAACGATACTTATCCCTGTAACAAGAAGAACAGATAAGGGGGACAGAGAAAGTCCCTTTCAGAGCAGCTCAAATATTTATTTTTTATTTTCTTGTAGTTGTAAGCAGCAGAACGATATCATTATAAAAGTTTTCATTTGGCTGTTATTGCAAACTGATATTGATGACGTATTTACTGCACAATGGAAAAGCAAGACATTTAGCGTACGCTGGACTGCAGAGCTAAAATGTCTAGCATTTTAAACCCCAACTGTCTTACTGTTTATTTTGGCCAGGACAATTATGAAAAATTACCTTTACATTCTGGAAAAAGTAAGTAAGTACGTGCATGCATGCATGTTATATATATATATAATACATATATATCCACACACACACATATATATATATATATACATATATACACATACTATATATATATAAACATATATATATATATATAAACATACACACACACATACACACACACTTACTGTTTGTTTTGGCAATAATAAATATGTTTGTTATCTGAATATTCAGGAAAAAATTAATATCTAAAGTTTATGAAGTGGGGCTGATCTGTTTAGAAGGGACTTATTTAGGTCCACATGTCCTCCACATCTCACTGTTTATTTTGGCAATAATAAATACGTTTATTAACTGATAATTCTGGAAAAACTATCACTGATACATAACTTTCACTTAGTAAATACCTTATTTACCAATTTTATCTTCACAAAACTAAATATGCAAAGCGTATACAACAAGAACAGTGCTAACGTTACATGCTAATCTCTTACTTTTGACGTCTTAATTAAATATTTTTGTTTATCTGCAAAGCTGTAAGACTGTATTAAAGCTGTAAAACTGTATTAAAGCTGCATTAAAGCTGTAAAACTGTATTAAAGCTGTAAAACTGTGTTAAAGCTGTAAAACTGTATTAAAGCTGTATTAAAGCTGTAAAACTGTATTAAACCTGTAGGTTATTAACGCTGTAAAACTGTAGTTAGGTTATTAATGCTGTAAAACTGTAGTTAGGTTATTAACGCTGTAAAACTGTAGTTAGGTTATTAACGCTGTAAACTGTAGTTAGGTTATTAACGCTGTAAAACTGTAGTTAGGTTATTAACGCTGTAAACCTGTATTAACGCTGTAAAATTGTAGTTAGGTTATTAACGCTGTAAAACTGTAATTAGGTTATTAACGCTGTAAACCTGTATTAACGCTGTAAAACTGTAGTTAGGTTATTAACGCTGTAGAACTGTAGTTAGGTTATTAACGCTGTGAAACTGTAGTTAGGTTATTAACGCTGTGAAACTGTAGTTAGGTTATTAACGCTGTAAAACTGTAGTTAGGTTATTAACGCTGTAAAACTGTAGTTAGGTTATTAGCGCTGTAAACCGCTGAATGTCATTGCTGGGCTGTTATTATGCAGGTTAGCTTAGCCACCCAGGCTAACCTGCTACCGTTCCCCAGCGAACCTCTCCAGCACACAGAGCTAACCGAGCTGGCTGGGTGTTGTGATGAGCGCTCAGCTAACCGAGCTGGCTGGGTGTTGTGATGATGCGGGTCTCGGCGGGTCAGCCTGTCCGTTTTCAGGGTCTGACACGGCTCCGCCGGGTAAGCGTGTCTGTAGTCGCTGCGTGTGGAGCGCGGGTCGGTTTAGCCGAGCTAACGCTAACAGTGAATGACCTGAACGTCCGGACGGTCCGGACTCAGACGCGCCGAGTCCGACCACACTTACATCCGCTCAGCATCACCTTCACACGGAACCGGGCTGAGAAACAGAGCTACCTGAAAATGCACCAGGACTCCAGGTGCCTCAGAGACTTCTTATAGAGCCGGAGGACTTTCTGCTGGTGAGTCAGGAAGGCAGCCATGATCCCCGCGTTGGGCCTGGCTGAGTTACACAGGCAGGCAGACAGCAGCGGGTGATGAAGCGGGCCGCCGTAATAACGGTACTAAATGAGAAAGAGCAAAAAATCAACTCCTCCAAACTCAGCACGGATCCCACAGAGTGACACGGTGGATATTTTCAACAAGGAGTGTTTCTCATAACCTGTAGCCTCAGTATGATAACTTTTAGCCTCAATACAGTAATTTGTGGCCTCAGTATAGTTGTTTGTGCCTAATTCATAGCCTCAATATATTATTTTGTGGCCTGAATATAGTAATTCAAATATGGTTATTTGTGGCTTCTGAATAGTAACTTGTGGCCTCAATATATTAATTTGTGGCTTCTGTATAGTAATGTATGGCCCCAATATAGTAATTTGTGGTCTCAATGTAGTAACTTGTGGCCTAACTATATTTATTTGTGGCTTTAATATAGTAATTTTGGCCTCAACATAGCAATTTTTGGCTAATTAATAGCCTTAATATAGTGATTTTTGGCCTCAATATAGTTGTTTGTGCCTAATTCATAGCCTTAATATAGTAATTTGTGGCCTGTATATATTAATTTTGGCATTAATATATTAATTTATGGCCTCAATATAGTTACTTGTGGCTTTTGTACAGTAACTTGTGGCCTCAATAAAGTAATAATTTGCAGCTATTTTATAGCCTTAGTATATTAATTTTGGCACTGATGTATTAATTTGTTGCCTCAATGTAGTAATTTGTGGCCTCAGTATAATAATTCGTTGCCACACCTTATTAAAAAATGTTAGGGGCTCGGTAAATGTCACACAATAAAAAGTTAGTTCACCAATTGAACGTGTACGCCAAGGTGAACTCTCTTACCTTTAAAACGCGCTGTATGTCTGCGCTGAAAGTCCTCAGGACTGTTGTGGTGCTCGTCGTTTAGGGTTATTACGGTAGCGCCTTGTGGCAATGGTGAGACTCGCTGCTGCCTGCAGGTTCGGTCGCTGTGCTGCTGCTGCTGTTTCCACGTTGACCATGTCGAACCTCAGGTTCATCGGTGAGTTCAGCTCCGGGGGTTCACCGCCCTCATTCACGGGTTCACAGGCCCTGAACCTGAACCAGGAGGCGCGCAGAGACGCTCAGCTACGCCCATTCATTCACAGAAACACATTGAACCACGACAGCTGAAGTCGGCTACTGATTCGCCTGCTTCGTGTCCCAGTCCACCTTAAATGGTGCTGCAGTAGCATTCTGAGGCTATAGGGGCCAGATTGTAACTGCTGGATCATTTAAGGTGGACCGGGAAAATTCGAACTAGAAGCGAATATGAAGCCAGTATTAGCCTCGTTCACTCTTCTGCATTTAAAGGGGCGTTCCGGCCTAAAACTAGCATGTAGTGTGTTGTTAGTCGTGCTTTGCGATGTTCAGCCTCGGCGGGTTGACAGAAAGTGCGATTTGGTATACTTTTTACTGTTTTCATCATCGAGGGTTCTGGAACTACAATACCCAGCAGGCAATGCGCAAATACGTCACAGCCGTTGGCAATCTGGAAAAGGATTTATCCAAATACAGTGTAGATATAAAACTTAAATGTGTGGTTATTGGCTTATATTGTAGTCTCTGTTTTGTAAATTTTATTTTAAATCTGATTGTCTTTTTGGGGAAATACCACTTACACAGGTGAAAATACGGTAAATGTAAGCCACACCACAAAGTTCTCTTAGTTGAATTTAATTTGTTTAGTCAGTCTCTTAATGTCTTAGCAATAAAAAAGGCTATGTCTGCTTTTAGGTATATGAGGGATTTAAGTTTGCTGAAAGACTGAAAATTGTTTTTTTTTTTGGTTGATATTGACTACGTATGTCTGTAGTTAGGTCTATCTATCTATCTATCTATATATATATATATATATATATATATATATATATATATATATTTACACACACGTATATTTATTTATTTATATATGTTTATTCATATAGGCTGATAAATACATCCTAGCAGTGATGTTTGCTCTCTGGCTTTTTTCTTTATTAGCCAACTAGAAAGAAACATTTCAAACAACCCTCAAGTATCCTTGTAGTTTCTCCCACCTTCACCTTCCTCTTACCTTCAAGATGCATCATCAGAAGGGGGCTTTCCAAGTCTTACGCTCCACCTACATAGGGATACCCAAACGTTTTGTCTTGGGGGCCAAAGTGGAATGTGTGTGGTGGGCCGAGGGCAGACAAATACAAAAAATGTACAAATAAACAGGGTATGAGTTTTTATAAATGTACTTAATAATATTACAGTTTACTTTTTCACTAAAATCGTTCAAAAACACAATTTAAAAGGAAAATATAAAAGTAATAAAAAGTATGCTTGTTCTGTAACTGGGTGAGGGGTGGGGTGAAGATAACTATCTGGCTGGACAAATCAAACATCTTCACGGCCCGCAGGCCATACTTTGGGCAGGCCTACTGATAGCGGCAGCAATTCAAAGTGCTTCACACAAACAGAAAAACAAAAGCAAATAATATTAATTAAATAAAGGCTCATAAGATCTAGCACCTCAGGAAGACATTTGCAAAGATAGTTAGAATAAAATCAAATTAAACTGCTAAAGATAAAAGACAATAAGATAGGAAATAAAATTAGAGATTAAAAGAAATACAAACAGTGCTAAGATAAAGTTCAGTGCTAAACAAAGGCACAAGAAAATGTGAATGTCTTTAAACTGGATTTAAAAATGGCTACATTTGGAGCATATAGAGACACTAGAGCCCCCCCGCTGTAGGAGCTGAATAATGGCATTTTCAACAGATGTAGCAGTAGTTAAATTTCTCACTTTGGGTGGAGTGGCCCTTTAAAGAATGCTTTTAGATTCATTTTATTTGCACACAAGAGTTTTTGTATCAAACCTGCTCCATATTTGCAGTTAAATGCTGTTCAGATGTTGCAGACTGAGATATTGCACAGTTACGTCCACTCTTCTCTCCTTCTCTCTGCAGATATCGGTATAAACCTCACTGACCCCATGTTCAGGGGGGTGTACAGAGGAAATCAGAAGCACGAAGGTAATGACCCATCAGCTCGTTTTACTTCAGAGTGGTCACTACAGTTCAGAATGACATCCAGACCTTCCTAAAGTGTCCCTTTTATTTTCTAGATGATTTCCAGCAGATCATTGAGAGAGCTCTTAGTGTTGGGGTTCAGAAGGTACAGTTTCCTTTAATCATTATTGCCAGTTATTCTTGCCCTGTGTGACCCTGAAACCTGCGAAATAAGGTCCTGTGTGTTTCTTTCAGTTCATGATCACTGGAGGAAACCTGGAGGACAGCATAGAAGCTCTGAAACTGGCACACACCAGAGGTGAGGAACAATGCATGCTGCATACTAGTATTAATAATTGACTTATTTTGGTAATAAAAACAGTATCCAGAGTGATGAACAGCGCCGGAAATGATCATCAAATGACGTTGAAAGCTGTATAACAACGAGAATTGTGTTACAATACATTTAACATCCTCAGCTTATATTTCAAAAGTGGAGATCAAATCTCAAGGCAGAAAACTTGACCTTTGAAAAAGAAATGTAAACAGACAAGTGCAGTGTATTATTTACATTTAATGATGTTCACCAAGTTCTTGAAATTTTGAATAAAACATTTAAAAATACCTTTTGGCGAATAGTTTGTAATATTAATATCCACATTGTGCAAGTCATAAAAATAAAAACTGTTGAAATGGCATGTGATTTAAAACATACTGTTTTCCTGAATATACAGATGCATAAGGACTTAAGTCCAACTTGCACTTTAGTCTAATTATGGCATCGTAACTCCATGGAGAATTTGATAAATATATCTTGCCTCACTAACATGTTATAAAATATCTAATTAAAACACTGTATGTGCACATCAAGGCAATGAATATGAGGTAGTTTTTTGACCCCCTGGATACAATTGAGAATATCAACATCCTAGCGTATCGTCGCTGCCCAACGAAAAACATGTATCTCTGTTTTTTTTCCGGATTATTAAGTTTCTACTTCATTTCAACACACCAGCTGTCTTTTACATTGTGTGAAAATTTCATGATGAATGGACCAATAGAAATGCTCTTAAATCACTTGGGAGAAAACCTCTTTACATTAACTAACATTGAAAGGTAAGAGTGTTGTTGCGCTCTCCTGTATAGCTACTATTTTAGAGATACTTGTTTTTATGATCAATACCCCGACATAGAACTGTACAGCGTGATTCAGAAAGATTCATCCGGTTTCAAAATGATTTATTTCACTTGTAAATCATTACAGAACAATGCAGTAAACTGTAAATGGTTCAAATGAGCATAAAGTTTATTATGTAATTCTACAAGTGCTCAGTATGAACCTCCTCCAGCTGTACGGACAACATCAACACCATAGTCAAACTCATCCCATACTTGATTGAGCATGTCTGGTGTCACTGCACTCACGGCTCTTTCAGTGTGATTTCGGAGATGATCCAGTGTTGTGGAACCAATGACGAACGCTCTGAGCTGTTGGAGGTTCACTGCCCACAAAAATCACACTGCACAGTTATGACGGATTCACTCATATTGAAGTGGAGAACGCAGAACGCTTTTTGCTCAGGGGTCTCCATCTCCTCTCAGACTGAAGGGAGCCATATTCTGGTGACAGTCAGACACTCTATGACCCCCTCTTTCAACTGGTATGTGATTGGTTCCTCGGTGCCTCACGGTTGTAAAAATATGTCGCTTTGAAATCGGATGAATCTTTTTGAGTCACCCTGTATTTCATGTTCCTAAATATGCCGTGTGTGCTGTCTGTCTCTCTAGATGAGTTCTACAGTACTGCTGGCTGCCATCCGACACGCTGTGCCGAGTTTGAACAGAAGGGGGCAGAAGAGTACTTGTCTGCACTCAGAGAGCTGGCCGTCAACAACAGAGGAAAAGTGGTGGCTATCGGAGAGTGTGGCCTGGGTAAAGCACATGACACGTCAATTCACTTACAGTCACTGGACAGTCCTTTATATGTGGATGAGACTGATGTGTGTATTCATACACACTTAAAAAAGATGGTTCTACAAGGGTTCTTCAGTAAAGGAAATGGTTCTTTATAGAACCATGAGCACTCAAAGAACCCTTTGCCTGATGAAATGGTTCTTTGCATCATGAAAGCGTTCTTCAGACTGATGAAGAATGTGCTGTAGATGGCCCTATGTAGAACCTTGTTGAAAATGGTTCTTTATAGCACCGAAAAGTGTTTTTCTATTGTTAGCTTGACATCGAAACACTAGCAGAACCCTTTCACAATGCAAAGAACCATTTAATCATGCAAAGTGTTCTTTGAGTGTTCATGGTTCTATCTATAACCATTTTCTTTACAAAAGGACCCTTGAAGAACCATCTTTTTGGAGTGTAGAGAATGTTTATTACATTGTTAAAGGGGAATTCCACCCATTTTTTTTAATTTATGCATAATTCAACAATTGATATGTAAACAGAGTCATTCAGAGTGGTTTGGTGTTAAATGGTTCATTGTAGAGACTCAGATTTCTTTACAGTGGTGGTGATAGGAACCAGACGTCACAATGTCTACAACACAAATATAGCCATTTTGTTTACTGTCTAAAATGACCAGTTAACCTCTAAATGTCTTTTGAGATGTAACATGTTATGCTGATGATTTTAAAATGGGGGTAAATGTGAAGATATCAATTTTCATTGAGGGCTTCCTATTGAAAAAAGGTGCTGGTGTTGGTCTGATGCTGGTTGACCAACATCCAAAACACAACATGCGCTCATTTTAGTGGTGACCTGCATAACAGCCTCCACTGCTGCTGCTGACCAGCAAACCAGCATCCAAAACACAATATATACTGGTTTTGCTGGGGTCCAGCTATGCTGGTCTGTGCTGTTTTCTCTGGCATTGCCTTGCAGCAGTTGCCTATATTGCCTTACAATGATCTGTATGTATCTTTCTGTCATTAATTAATTTGAATATACATTTTAGACCAAATAAACGTAAAGCTAAGCTTTAATACTGTGCCTCAGACATCAGCCAGTGTATTTATAACCATTTCATATAATAGCTTTCTGTGAGGGAACTCTTCAGATGTTTGGTTCCTATCACCACCATTGTGAACATTTCTGACTTCATAATACTACGTTCACATTAACAGGTTGAAGTGGCACAAATCAGATTTTTTGCCCTAATGTGACTCAGATCTGATGTTTTCAGGGCTGTGTGGACACACAAATCTGATCTTTTCAAATCAGACCTGAGCCAGTTTCATATGTGGTCCTAGATTGGATACGTATCCGATTCGTGGCCATGCAACCTTAATGTGACGCTCAGATCAGAATTCATGTGCTTACTGCGCATGCGGCATCATTCAGCGTTACCATGGCAGCAGCGCCGAACAGAAGTTAAAGCCTGTAAACGGTGGAAAAGCAGCACATCTCACCTTTTTCTCCTTCGTCTCGCTCTAATAATGAAGCTGAGAGCTGATCAGAGTTAATGATCTTCACAGTGAAGCTCGTTCTGCTCGTTAGTCTGTTTGATGATGATGAACGTGATTCATTCACGTGACGTTACTGAGTAGGATGTGCGCATGAGGGTCATTTCAGGACGCCGGTTCGTTACATTAATGACAGATTTTAATCACTTACCTAAACAAGTGTGACCATTAAGTCGGAGAGATCGAATCTGAGCAAAAAATCAGATTTGAGCAACAAGGCTTGTAATGTGAACGTAGCCTGAGTTTCTCTAGAACAGAGCGTTTCACACCAAGCCGCTCTGAATGACCTTGTTACATCTTATGCAGAAATTTTGAAAAGTTGGTGGAATTCCCCTTTTAATATATATTGTAAATTGTTCTGCATGGAGTGCACTATTCAGACTGTGACTCAGAAAGCATGTGGCATTTTCTCTGTCACTCTTCTCCTTTTCTTACATCTCTCAGACTTTGACAGGTTGGAATTCTGTCCGAAGGAGACCCAGCTAAAGTGAGCAGTTCCACTTCTTATCACTCAGAGATTACTAAAGCATGACTGATATAAAAAATGTGTGACTGATACAGATTTCAAGGTGCTACAAATTACAAAAACTTAGTATCGGCCAATATAATTTAATATAGTACTAAAAGAAACATGCTCCCATAGGTTTGTTCAACAGTGCGTTATTCATGGATGTGATTGTCATTTGTCAGCTGTGGATCGCCATATACACCATATACACTGTATACCTAAAAGTATCCAGACATGCTTCTAAATAGTGAATTCAGCTACTTTATTAAAATGTACACAAATGTCCAAAGGTAGAAATTATTTATTTTAATAATTATAGTTACTTTATTTAATAATAAGTTATTCAGTGTATGTTTAAGTACTGTAAGCTGAACACGAGACAGTATTTGATTTTTTTTCATGTTTTAAATAAAAAGAGCTTATTGAGTTTTTGTATTAATGAATACAGAACCTTTTGATCTATATAGTGTATTATTAATGTAAAATATGCAAATATTTAAATACCTCCTGTACAACTATATGTTTTGTTGATTCTCTAAATAAAAAGAAGTGAACACATGGTCTACAGAGAGCACACTTAAATTTTTCTAATTTCTAACTTTGGATAAATTCAATATATTAGAAGGGAAAAAAACATAACTTTAAAAAAATAACTTTTGCACAGGCCACTTTTCATGTTTTACTTTTTCCGAGATGTTAAATTCAGCAAATAAACAGTAATTGTGCACTATAATGTGCAGAAGTGTGTTTTAACTTATTTTCAGTCAGAAAGTCAACTAAACCTGATATTTGACCAGGGGTGCCCAAATTTTTCCATACATCTGTATTATTGGCCAACCGATGTATCAGTCGGAGGAATTATTTAATTTAATTTGTAATGTAATAATGCGAGTAATAATAACGTAAGTACATTCTTAAAACGTTCTTGAATTAAAAGCACGGTTCCAGATGGTATACAGTCTTCGCATCATGTGGAGGTTCTTTAAACTTTAAAAGGTTCTTTACCCTCCCACACTTTATAGCTCTAAAGCTTTAAAGATGCATTCATTGAAAGGTTCTTTAGAGAACCAATAGAAGTCTATCAGTGGTCTCACTCTAAAATCCCTTATTGACACTTCTTGTCTTTAAGCCTTCCTGCTGTCTGCTTCATGTGCTCACAGGTACTTTGAGAAGCAGTTTGATTTGGCAGAAGAGACCCAACTGCCGATGTTCCTGCACTGCAGAAACTCTCATACGGAATTCCTGGGTAGGTCCGAGGCGGGGCGAGGCGGGGCGAGGCGAGGCGAGATGAGATGAAATGAGATGAGATGAGATGATTCTTTATTAGTCCCACAATGGGGAAATTACTTAACAAGGTTTACAGTTTGTTACTTGTTACTATATAGACAAAATATATAATACTAAATGTAAAATAATTAGATGAAAATATAAACTCTCTTCTTCACAAAAATTAACGGTATAACCAAATTATAAATAAAAAAGCAAAAACATATTTACACTGTAAAGATATTTTACCCGAATTTCGCATTGATTATTGCACATGAAGTACTGGTTTATATTATACATGGGAATGGTGAGGAATTAACAATATAAACATTATAAATAGAAAAGCAAAAAAGAGAAACTTGGGCAGAGACTCAATCTAATGATAACAGCTTCCTAAAGCTGAGAAAGATCTGTGATCTCACTCTCTCTAATGTCCACAGACATTATGAAGCGAAACAGAGACAGGTGTGTAGGAGGGGTGGTAAGTGTAACATTGAACACTTCTTCATTGATAGCCATTTTTCTTTCGCATGCTGATGATTTATCCTTAACGCTGTACTTAAACAGTCCTGTTTTGTAGGTTCACTCCTTTGATGGGACAAAGGAGGACGCTGCTGCTCTTATAGACCTGGATCTTTATATTGGCATCAATGGCTGGTAAGCAGATGAGTTTAACTTCGCACGCAAAGCCTTAGAACACAAATCTGATTGGCTCAGCCACATTTTATGCCATTGTAAACGAATCCAGTATGCACACATGACTGCACACACAAGATGAATTCTGTATTAATGCATCAAGTTAGAAAAGCCATTGCGCTTTGACTGTGATGTTGCCTGGTAATCGTTAACCTACTGTTAATTAACTATATTGCTTAGCAAGAATTGTTAAAGGGTCCATATCCGCCACGTTTGATGCATTGTATTATTTCCCCTGAGGTCCACTTATAACGTTTTTGTGGTTTTACATACTAAAACCAGTCATGATTAATTTTACATGACCATTTTCCAGCCTCTTTTCCTCCCTTAGAAGTCATTTTTCTTAATCTTAATTTTCTTAAGACTGATATATGTAAATGAGCTTTGTTCTGATTGGCGGGGAGTGACTCTGGAGCAGTGAAAACGTGCTCTGTGGAGTGATTAAACACGCTTCTCTATCTGTCAGTCTGATGGACGAGTCTGGGTTTGGAGAACGTTACCTGCCTGACTGAATTGTGCCAGCTGTAAAGTTTGGTGGAGGAGGGATGATGATATGGGGCTGTTTTTCAGGGGTTGGCCTAGAACCCTTAGTTCCAGTGAAGGGAAATCTTAATGCTTCAGCAGACAAATTGTATGCATCTAACTTTGTGGGAACAGTTTGGGGAAGAACCTTTCCTGTTCCAGCATGACTGAGCCCCAGTGCACAAAGCAGGGTCCATAAAGGCCTGGCTGGGTGAGTTTGGTGTGGAAGAACGTGACTGGCCCTCACAGAGCCCTGACCTCAACCCCATCACTGCAAAGGGAGACCAACTCTATATTAATGCCTATGGATTTAGAGTAGGATGTCATAAAAGCTTCTGTAGGTGTAATGTGTAGATGTCCCAATCCTTTTGTCCATATAATGTAACTGGTGGGAATTTTATGAATGCAGAATCTTCAAATATACATCACCGTCTCACGAGTCTCATCCCCCAGGCTGAGAATCGCTGGTTTAAACACTGCATGTTTATTGGAGTGCTTGATAATTTAGGCTAAGAGTCCCCATATAAAGTTAGAACACATGACATTGACTTGGAACTTGGGAGTGACTGCACTATCCTGCTTATTTAGAATATCTGCCAAACATACCATGGGGAAATTGAGCTCTGATCGCCTCTAACAATCCCAGTAGTGACTCAGCACAGTCTACTCAGCATGCCTTTGTATGTAATTGAGGCTCAGCTCATCCACAGCTAGAGGCATAAAGGAGGAGTGTGAGAAAGAGCGTGACATACTCTAGATGAGCAATCATTAGGAGAATAGGAGAGGATTCTGGGTAGGTAGCAAGGTGGTTTGGACTGGTTACTACCTCAGGCTTAGTTGCTGCAACTTGCCGTGTGGAGGATGTACTTTAGCCTGAATAGGTCTCACTGTGAGTTGTTTGTATTCTGCAAAATGATGCAGTGCTTCGATGACCAATAGGGTGATTAAGATAATACAGATGTAAGCTCTGAGACTTAAAAGAGCTCAGTGAATAAAAACAATTATGATCAGAAAAGTTAGTTATATGATGCTTAAGGGTGATTCCCAGAAAATGTTGGCCAGATAGCTGTCAAAATTCATATATAATGAAAATAGAAATACGCAAAAGTGATCAGAAGGCAGATTAGCGATCATTAGGAGAACGTGAGTGGATTCTGGGATAAGTAGCTTGGTGGTTGTTATTACTGACTATCATAAAATTGTTCCAGGTTTGGTTCCAGGTACAATGCTGTTGTCTTTCTAACCCAGTGTTGCTTCAGGGACAGCTTTAGTTCCCTCTTTCCTTTCGCTGGGGTTTCTCAATCACCGGGCTGTGGACTGCAAGTGGGACGCAAAGCTAATTCTGGTGATCCTTGGGCCAATGCTGAAGAGGGGCCAGAGGTCGATAGTGGGCCAGTGATGCCACAAGCCATGCAACCACAGCGCAATAAGCAGCTTTATTTTGTTCCCCTCAAGAAACAAAATGTACAGCACCAAAGTTTAAACTTTTCACTCGTGAGTGAAAACTGTTGCTTTATTTGCCACCATTCTGCCTGATTTGAAGTATAGAACAGTATTTTTACTCGGTGATACACAACACATATTGTGGCACCCAAACATTGCTGTGTTGAAATTTTTCATTTATTTATTTAATTCATTTCTGAAAGTTTTTTTTATGTGAGCCTTTATGCTTTCTAGTGATAAATAGGTGGACCTTGAGGTGGAAAAGGCTGAAAAGCCCTGTCATACACTGTATGAGAAGTGCTCTTGGATTTTTAAATCAATTGTTTGGCCCACAAATCAGCTTTACAGTATGTTCCCTTTAGCCCAGCCAAGACATGTTTGATGTCTGAATTTTCCTTCTGTAGATTTGTGCTGAGGCTACAAGGCTAATGTAGCCAAAATGGAAAGTATGTTAATAGCCACCAGGTTAGCATCATGCTAACTGCATGCTCAAAAATCATACAGTTGCCTCAAACTGTATTGAGTTGTTAACTAATCTTAAATAGACTGGCTTCTGACACTGCATGACATTTTTATCTATCAAAATGGACAAAAGTACAGACACAGTTAAGGCTTCAGGATTGCTGCTACTACTGTTTTTAGCTATCCAGTGTAGTTTTGCCAATTTCCTGCATTATTTGTCAAATTCAATGAGAAATGCATGTTCAAATGTAGAAAAGTCCATTTGAATCTATTGTACTTTTGCCCATTTTTCTACATTGGCCTTGGAGGGAAGTTCACTAAAGAAGTTCAAACACCAAACATAAAGGTGAAGAGGACAGTTCAGTAAATTTCATTTGTAAATGTAACCATCATTTTAATGACCGCAGAGAGTCAGCAGTTCGACTCAGGGCAATGACTGATATCACTAATTTCAATCCTCCTTCTGATTCCAGCTCTTTGAAGACTGAGGCAAATCTCGAGGCTATGAAATCTATTCCCACAGAGAGACTTATGATCGAGACAGGTTTGATAACACAGCATTATGTTTTATGATTACATTAACAGCTAAAGCATGTAAGCTAGCACAAACTGGGCAGCTGTGTTTTAGCTGTTAGAGAGTGATGGAGTTAGCAGGAGAGAGCTGCACACAACCTAATACATTTAGCTTTTTTGCTGTCATTTTTCAAACTGAGCAAAATTAATCATTTTTTTACTACAAGCTATGCACACATACACTATATGGACAAAAGTATTGAGATGCACCTCTTAATCATTGAATTCAAGTGTTTCATTCAGTTCCATTGCCGCAGGTGTATAAAATCAAGCACCTAGCCATGCAGTCTGTCTTTACAAACACATGTGAAAGAATGGATTCATTCCAAAGAGCTCCCTGAATTCGAGCATGGCACTGTAATAAGATGCCACCATTGCAAAAAGTCCTCCTAGATATTCCACGATCGTCCGTGAGTGGTATTTATGAACCACTGCAACTCAGTGTTGGACCACGTAAAGTTACAGAACGGGGTCACCAACGCTCTGCTGACTACAGAGTTCAAATCTCCTCTGGCATCAACACAGTCAGCACAAAAACTGCGCCGGGAGCTTCATGGCATGGGTTTCCATGGCTGAGCAGCTGCATGTAAGCCTGACATCACCAAACCCAATGTCAAGCGACAGATGGAGTGGTGTAAATTATGCCACTACCGCTGGACTCTGGAGCAGTGGAAACCTATTCTGTGGAGTGATGAATCATGTTTCTCTATCTGACAACCTGATGGACGAGTCTGGGTTTGGCGAATGCCAGGAGAACGTTACCTGCCTGACTGTACAGTGCTAACTGTAAAGTTTGGTGGAGGAGGGATGATGATATGAGGTTGTTTTTCAGGGGTTGGCCTAGAACCCTTAGTTCCAGTGAAGGGAAATCTTAATGCTTCAGCAGACCAAGACATTTTAGACATTTCTATGCTTCCAACTTTGTGGGAACAGTTTGGGGAAGAACCTTTTCTGTTCCAGCATGACTGAGCCCCAGTGCACAAAGCAAGGTCCATAAAGGCCTGGCTGGGTGAGTTTGGTGTGGAAGAACCTGACTGGCCCTCACAGAGCCCTGACCTCAACTCCATTGGACACCTTTGCGATAAACTAGAACAGAGATTGAGAGCGAGGCCCTCTCATCTAACATCAGTGTCTGACCTCAGAAATGCTCAAAAAGTCCCACGGACACACTGCAAAATCCTGTAGAAGGCTTCCCAGAAGAGTGGAAGCTGTTATAGCTGCAAAGGGGGACCAACTCCATATTAATGCCTATGGATTTAGAATGGGATTCATAAAAGCCCCTGTAGGTGTGATGTGTAGGTGTCCCAATACCTCCATATAGTGTATCTGCTGCAACCCTAGTTTCCAGCACCTACTGTTTATGAACAGTTCAGCTGAAGTCATCATTAAGCTGAATCCCTGCAAATGTTGGGCATCTAAATCCATTGATCACATTGCAGTGGGAATACAGGAAAGTGATCAGAAGCACATTCTACTTGAGCCTGTTTAACTGCCTAAAAGAAGCTGTGTTAGATTTAGTCCAAGATACTGTTGAACTGTGCTTAACAGCTTAACTAGGCCTTTGTAAAACTTCTATACCTGATCATTTTCAGTCTAACAACTGAACCCTATTGCCATTCTGTTCCTCTCTCTCTCTCTCTCTCTCTCTCTCTCTCTCTCTCTCACTCTCTCTCTCTGTGTCTCACTCTCTCTCTCTCTCTCTCTCTCTCTCTCTCTCTCTGTGTCTCACTCTGCCTGTTTACCCTCCCAGATGCTCCGTGGTGTGGTATCAAAAACACTCATGCTGGATCCAAGTTCATAAAAACTACATTTCCCACCAAGAAAAAGTGGGAGACAGGCCACTGCCTGAAGGACAGGAACGAACCCTGCCATATCATGTAGGTCACAGAGCAGCGTTGCAACATCAGAACAAATAACACCACATCATACTGAGACACCAAATGTTCAGTTTGTCTAATCCAGACTGTTTCTCAGTGGAACAGCTTCCCAGACACAAGTTAACGCTTAAAGGTTGCTATAATATTTAAATATAATTACATATTTCTTTACAAAGTACATTACAGAGTTAATTACTTGGTCTAGTCTGTACTTCTGACTTTTGTTCTGTTTGTTTAAATGCTAAGAAATGATAAAAAACATGGCCAAAATATGAAGGATGTTTTTTTGCTTCTGCACAAGACAAATTCAATATGCGATAAAATATCTACTCGTCTACTTACAGACACAAATGTAGCATCACCTGAGAGATTAGAATCAGCACTGTTAGCACAATTTCGCCACTAATTTCAATGAGCTACAAGTAAGCGATGATTAAGGAAACACTTAAGAGACATTATAAATGTAATCATAACTACGTCATGCCCACTTTCCTCTTACAGTGGTGCCACAGTTGTCTCTAGAATGACGTTTTCCAGTTTGAAGACAAGGAGAACCCCCTTCTCATGTTATATTTTGAATCGGCAATAGATTTGAGCAGATACCTGGGTAGCCTGTTTGAATTGTTCTTTTTCCCTCATATTGCTAACATTACTGCTAGTAAACCAAATATCATGTCTTTATTTAACCTCTAAATTAGTGGCTATGATAGAGATCAGTAATATTAACCTTACCACTCTCAATTCTGCAGTGCTGTAGATCCCTAGCACTGCAGTTGAATAACCTGGGATGTAAATGGCAAAGTATCGCTAGGATTGCAGGTACACATTCATCAGTGTAATAGTAAATGCATGTCTTTTTCAGACAAGTGCTGGAGGTGATGGCAGCGGCGAGGAATGAGGACCCTGCGGAGCTGGCCAACACAATCTACAACAACACCCTGAAAGTGTTCTTCACTGGAGGCTGATACATCTGGTCTTACCTAAATCTGTAGTAGTAAAAATGAGGCCTTGTGAGAGCTGAGAACTCACTGAGTCAGTGGATCTTCTGGCTGATGCCCAGATTCTCAGTCATCATAGACATTTTGTTAATGCATGGAAACCATGCACTGAACTGTTCAAACAGCTGATGGAAAAGATGTATTTTAATAAACATGTATAAAAGTTCAGAAATTGCTGTGTTGAGTGATGGAAATGACACTACTGATCAGCACAAGACAGTAAATACACTAAATGTCCAAATGTCTCGACACCTGGTCATCCAGCATTTCATCTGAAATTAAGTGTAATAATAGGCAGTTTGTCCCCCTTTTGCTGCAGTAGCAGCCTCTACTCTTCTACTCTTCTCTTCTTTTCCTGCTTCCAACATAACTGATTCAATTAAGCGGTTAATTGGCAAGACCTGTTTTATGGCAGGAAAATATAAAAATGTGCAGGGCATTGAGTTCTTCAGGACCAGGGTTGGAAACCTGTGCACTAGATGTTGGAACATTGCTGTGAGGGTTTCACTGCATTCAGCCGCAAGAGCATCAGTGAGGTCAGGTACTGATATTGGATGATCAGTTCTGGATCACTCCAACTCATCCCAAAGGTGTTGGATGGAGATCCATCACTCCAAAAGACACAGTTCTACTGTTCCACCGCCCAATGCTGGGGGGCTTTATGCCCCTCTAACTGGTGCTTGGCATCGAACATGGCATGGTGACTTTGGGCTCGTGTGTGGCTGCTCCAGAGCATCCCATTCCATCGCTAAGTGCTTTTCTATGGAGATTATCCAAGCTATCAGTGCACAATTGAACATTTGTTAAAGCAACTGACCTAAAATTAAGCACAATGTTTTATCAATAAAACCAACTTAATGCTGGTGACCACCATATTTTTTTCATTTTGTCCAGCAGTCCATGAATCTTAAAATTTTACATTGGCTTGGTACAAAAAAGACCTTCATTTAAAATAATAATGAATCTCTACAATGTTTTTCCAGATACACTTGCCAAAAGTATTCACTCACCCATCCGAATCATTGAATTCAGGTGTTCCAATCACTTCCACGGCCACAGGTGTATAAAACCAAGCACCTAGGCATGCTGACTGCGTCTACAAACATTTGTGAAAGAATGGGTCGCTCTCAGGAGCTCAGTGAATTCCAGCGTGGTACCGTGATAGGATAAGTCCAGTCGTGAAATTTCCTCACTACTAAATATTCCACAGTCAACTGTCAGTGGTATTATAACAAAGTGGATTTGATTGGGAACGACAGCAACTCAGCCACAAAGTGGTAGGCCACGTAAAATGACAGAGCAGGGTCAGCGGATGCTGAGGCGCACAGTGCGCAGAGGTCACCAACTTTCTGCAGAGTCAATCACTACAGACCTCCAAACTTCATGTGGCCTTCAGATTAGCTCAAGAACAGCGTAGAGAGCTTCATGGAATGGGTTTCCATGGCCGAGCAGCTGCATCCAAGCCTTACATCACCAAGCGCAATGCAAAGCGTCGAATGCAGTGGTGTAAAGTGCTGCCACTGGACTCTAGAGCAGTGAAGACGTGTTCTCTGGAGTGACGAACCACGCTTCTCCGTCTGGCAATCCGATGGACGAGTCTGGGTTTGGCGGTTGCCAGGAGAACAATACTTGTCTGACTGCATTGTGCCAAGTGTAAAGTTTGGTGGAGGGGGGATTATGGTGTGGGGTTGTTTATCAGGAGTTGGGCTCGGCCCCTTAGTTCCAGTGAAAGGAACTCCTAATGCTTCAGCAGACCAAGAGATTTTGGACAATTTCATGCTCCCAACTTTGTGGGAACAGTTTGGGGACGGCCCCTTCCTGTTCCAACATGACTGCGCACCAGTGCACAAAGCAAGGGCCATAAAGGCATGCATGACTGGGTGAGTTTGGTGTGGAAGAACCTGACCGGCCTGCACAGTCCTGACCTCAACCTGATAGAACACCTTTGAGATGAATTAGAGCGGAGACTGTGAGCCAGGCCTTCTCGTCCAACATCAGTGTCTGACCTCACAAATGAATTTATATATATATAATTATAACCCTATACATGTACACATACATACATACATACACTGATGAGGCATAACATCATGACCACCTCCTTGTTTCTACGCTCATTGTGACCACTGATGAAGGACTAGAGGATGACCAACACAGCAGATGAGCTATCGTCTCTGACTGTACATCTACAAGGTGGACTGACACGGTAGCAGTGTCTAATAGAGTGGACAGTGAGTGGACACAGTGTTTAAAAACTCCAGAAGCACTGCTGTTTCTGATCCACTCGCACCAGCACAACACACACTAACACACCACCACCATGTCAGTGTTACTGCAGTGCTGAATGATCCACCACCCAAATAGTACCTGCTCTGTGAGGTGTGTGTGTATATATATATATATATATATATATATATATATATATATATATAATTATTATTAAAAAGTTCATGTAGACACGTCACCATTTAAATGTGTATTGTTCCCTTATGTATTTAGTTAATTAGCTGATTAATTTGGTTTCATTTGTGTTTTGTTTTCTTTAGCTAGGTTAGCTAACTGAGCTAGCTAGCCAACTCCGTTTCGTCGTTGGCTACGCGATGACATCAGAGCGATGACGTGCTCCGCTTCCGCGTTCTTCGCATAGCAACAGTGAGCGGAGGGAGCGGAGATGGCGGCTCAGCCACAGCGGCTGCGCTGAGGCAGCGACGGACAGACGGAGACGACGAGAGCCGGCAGAGGAGGAGGGCTTTAACGGCACCGACGACACGGACATGGCCTCCGCCGGCGCACGGATCAGCCAGCAGGCCCTGGCCGTGCTGGACGTGGCTCTGCGGGTGCCCTGTATCTTTATAATCGACGCCATTTTTAACTCTTACTCCGACCCCGGGGCGGGCTGGGCCGGCACCGCCGGCCGGGTTGTGGGGCGAGTGCTGGGTAAGACACCGGTCGAACCACCCCCCACCTTTCCGCTCGTTCCTCCACAGGTTTCACCGGCGGCCGGCTGACAGCGTGGACAGCGTGTCTCCTGGTCAGAAGGAGCAGCACTCCGGGCCTCCCTGCTCTCCGCACAAAGCCGATTTAGTGGAGCAAACAACCTTGGCCTCTTTGCTCAGCTTGCACTTATCTCATCTCAACTCCTGCCCTGCTGCCAAAACACCCCCTGCTCGCCTGTTTTTGGCTTCTGTCGGATCACCAACCCTAAACCAGACAAGCTGCGCTCACAGCAGAGGCCTCACTTCTTGTTTTTGTGTACTGTTGTGGCTGACATGCAGCAGAGGCCTTAACATGCACCCTTATGTTGTTGGTGTATTTACCATCTCCGAGGTTTATTTTTAGCACAGTTAGATGAGATCTTGAGCAAGTTGTGGCTTCATGCTTGCTTGTTTTGTAGAATAAGGAGAACATGATGGCTTCACACTGTTTACTTTTTGAAGTGGGTAGAATATGTTGGTTTTTTTGGACTGTTGTGGTTGACATGCAGCCTTATGTTAATATATTTACCATCTCCACGGTTTATTTTCAGTACAGATGGGATCTTAAGAGTATGGAGAACATGATGGCTTCACACTGTTTCCTGTATGAAGCTAGATATGTTGGGTTTTTTTTTTGACTGTTGACATGCAGCAGAGGCCTTAACATGCACCCTTATGTTGTTAGTATATTTACCATCTCCAAGGTTTATTTTAAGTACAGTTAGATGAGATCTTAAGCACGTTATGGCTTCATACTTATACTTGCTTTGTTTTGTAGAATAAGGAGAATGTGATGGCTGTACACTGTTTACTTTTTGAAGCGGGGAGAATATGTTGGGTTTTTTTTTACTGTTGACATGCAGCAGAGGCCTTAACATGCAACCTTATGCTGTTAGTATATTTACCATCTCCAAGGTTTATTTTAAGTACGGTTAGATGAGATCTTAAGCAAGTTGTGGCTTCATACTTGCTTGTTTTGTAGAATATGGAGGATATGATGGCTTTACACTGTTAACTTTTTGCAGTGGGGAGAATATGTTGGTTTTTTTTTGACTGTTGTGGTTGACATGCAGCAGCCTTAACATGCAACCTTATGTCGATAGCGTATTTATTCATCTCCAGGGTTTATTTTTAGTGCAGCTAGATGGGATCTTAATAGTATGGAGAACATCATGGCTTCAAACTGTTTCCTGTTTGAAGTGGGGAGAATATGGTGGCTTCAAACTGGCATGTTTTCAGAAGTGCTGTAAATGTAATGGGGAAAAAACTAGTAGGAATGCGCCAATATGTGAAGTCTGGGCCGATAATCGATATGTTTCATGGTCATATCTGCCAATACTGATACATAGAGGTAGGCAATATGGCGAAAATGTACTGTCTTGATACTTCAAGACGTTTTTGCGATACGTGATGTGCCCTGTTTGTCCTTTCTGTCATCTGTATAGATGGAACAAAGTGGTGCCATGTTTAAAAATACTTTCAAAAACTATGAATATAATTATTTGCGTTCAACGTTTCACATACTGACCTGCACTAAATCCATTTAAACAGGACTAATGATGATTGCTTTGTAGTCAAACATGCAGTTGGGAGTTGTTTTAAGTACCAACAATATCCACTCTATGCTCAGAAAAGCAGATTGTCACATATGGTAATGTAGTTTATCACGATAACAATAATTATTGTCATATTGCCCAGCTCTACTGATACATAAACATTGATGCAATGTATTTGGGCTAAATCTGGATTAGCATTGTGGAGAAATATATCATTTATTTCTGCAGTAAAATTAGTAAAATGCAGACAGCTTAGGACAGTAGTCCAGTATTGCCTGAACACTCTGCCCTACTGGAGTACAATGAATTTGTCATCAAATATCAGTGTCAAATCTACACATTTGTCTAATGCTGGTCATTTTTAAAATCAGTTATTTGCTGATGATGATTTGATTGCAGTATCATTAAGCATTCCTACAAACTAGTTCATTTGAATGAGAATATGACGGCCTCAAACTAGCTTACAGTGGATTATCGTGACTCCATACTAGCACCTTTATGTGAATGTTGGTGAATATGCTAGTCTTCCAGCTCGCTTCTCTTGTAAAGAGAAGGGGAAAACAAGAGAAATATCAAATACTTTCCTTTACATAAATCATGTGTATTACATATCAGTTATGTTGAGCCAT